AATAAAAATTATTTCTTAATAAAATTATAAATTTTAATATAGAGAGAAAATTTTAATTTTCACTATATTTTATTAATAAATTTAATCACTAAGTCATTACTTTTGATCATCAGAAATTTATATATTAATCTTATTTTCAGAATTGGAATTAAACAAGAAAAAACATGTATAGCATAATTACTTTTATAGTTATCCATTTAAATTTCCAGTTATTAGTAACTATAATTAAAAAATTTCTTTATAATTATTTAATTTTATTTTTTCAAGTACAATAATTATAGAGGTCTGACTATATATATTTTAGATGTTTCTCCGAGTCTGTAATTTCCAATTTACACGACTACTTTCCCGAGAATGGCGCATCATATTATTGTTGATAGCTTCGTTATTAATTCATATCTTTCTTTTTATCAATTGCAGCCTCATGTATATTAGCATTAAAAGATTGCTCGCATAATGTCATTCAGATGTTATTGTATTTATATTGATAAGCCGCAAATCTATTGATAAGCCGCAAATCCGAATTGATAAGTGACGTACTTAGTTTACGTAAAATTCTAACGCTACAAAAATTGGTCAAAAAATTATAACAATCCCTTTAAGAGATTTTGCATCAAAAATGCCTTTAGAAGCTACTATGATAGTGTAAGAGCAGATCTTTTTTTTTGATGTTTAACCAAGTTTAATTAACAGGGAAAACTTTTTGTTATACTGATTCCATATTAAAGGCTGGACAATTCGGAGTGGATGCGTAATGGCGATTATACACCAACACGCTTAGAAGCTCAAAGGGATGCCGTGAATTTAATATTTTCATCAAAGACACAGTCAAATCCTGAAAATACAGTCGGCCTAATGACCATGGCTGGAAAGGGGTATGTAAAGCTGATGAAATGTTAAATATCTTTCCATTTTCCATTGCATTATCCACTCAAATTAATGCATTGATATACGTTCTTCAATTGATCTGTAGTCCAGAAGTTCTTGTTACATTAACTTCAGATATGGGAAAAATTCTGTCGGCTACTTATAATATTAAAGTAGGAGGAAAGGCGAATCTTACAACAGGAATTCAGGTCGCGCAGGTATTTATATTTTATTTATCTGCTATAGAATGTTATGAATTTAGCGTACATAATTCAAGCCAATATTGATAGTCATCCTATTTTAAAGCTTGCATTAAAACATCGACAGAATAAAAACCAACGACAACGTATTATAGTATTCGTGGGGAGCCCAATTAACGCAGATGAAAAAGCTCTATCAAAGCTCGCAAAAAAAACCAAAAAGAATAATGTGGCAGTAGATATAATTAATTTTGGCGAGGAAGCTGAGAATACATCGAAACTTGAAGCTTTTATTCAAGCTATAAACAGCAGTGATAATAGGTATGTATTTGATAGGGTTGAAGATACAGCATACAAATTTATATCTAAATGAATAATCTTTCTCTTTTTTTAGCCATCTCGTAACAATCCCGCCTGGTCCGTATATTCTAAGCGAGCGTCTAATATCCTCGCCTATAATATCCGGTGAAGATGGAATTCCCGCTGGTTTTACTTCCGGTGCTGGTAGCGGTTTTGAATTTGGGGTCGATCCTAATCTTGATCCAGAATTAGCTCTTGTAATTCATCTATTTCACTATTTCATCTCATTATTTATGCTATAGATTATTAAAAAAAATTGTAATATATTTTAGGCTTTGAGAATCTCTCTGGAAGAAGAAAAAGCTCGACAAGAAGCTGAAGCTGCAAAAGCTGCAACCGCCAATGCTCCAGAAACAGAATCAACATCTATGGCTGTGGATTCGAATGAACAAGAACATGGAACTGTTTCGGCTGGACAAGATCACGTAAAAATTAATTCTTTGTTTAGTTAATACAATATATTTCTTAAATTAATTTTTTTCATTCTGCAGACTGGTGATATAGAGATGGAAATGACTGAAGAAGAACAAATTGCACGCGCCATTGAATTGTCAAAAGAAACATCATCAGGGGTAAATTTATAGCATTTATTCGTGTTATTCGACCTTTTTAGTATATTGAAATATATATTTACCGTATCTTTGTTCAGCAGCAACAACAGCAATCCAACGATTATATCAACGTAATGCAAGATCCACAATTTATGAATTCGGTGCTTGGGGGTCTACCGGGTGTGAATCCTGCCGATCCGATGATTCAAAATGCATTAGCAGGTCTGAATGATAAGAAAGAAGGCGAAGAAAAACAAGATGATAAAAAAAAGGATGACGAACAAAAGTAGATCTAAGCTCAATTATTGATGTCTTGTTCAATATAATTTAATTGTGTGTATAAAGATGCGGTTATTTATTGTTATCACTAAATAGCCTTTGTGATGTGTAGTTTGAGTTCTTCAATACATATTCTGAATGTGTTACGGTTCTATGCAAATGATTTTTCGCATTAGTCGGATCGTCAATTTTCCCACGAGATAATTTGGTTACAGGAAATAAATGTGCAGTGTGAATCTGTGCACATGTTTCGATTGATTTTTATTAGAAATAATCTCGTTCTATATTATGATTCCCTTACTAGGTGTAAGTCTAAAGGATTACAAGACCGTAAAGGTAACAAAATCATAGATAATGATCCTTACAAAAGCATCTCGCACTATAAATAAAAAATCATTGCTTGAAACACAAGGTTGCGTTAACAAAATTCTACGGCATCGGAATGAATGTTTCCGCTAGAATATGTGCAAAACTAAGCATCCACGACACATGTAAAATGCAAGAATTAACCGAAAACCAACTTAACCAACTTTCTGCAGTATTGTCTGATATGACATTAGGTGCGGACTTGAAACGACAAGTAAAAAGTCATATTATGCATCATCGACATATTGGGTCGTATAAGGGTAAACGACATGCTATGAGTTATCCGGTTCGTGGGCAACGTACACAGACTAATGCCAAGACGGCCAAACGGTTGAATGCTCGATTTATTAATCAGAAATAAGTAAGCCATTATTTCTTTTAAAGGTATTTAAAATGTGTGGTGCCTTGTCTTCTTTTTTATCAAAAAATTTGCAATAATGTATAAACGGAACGTTTACGTTCTTCCAATCTTACGAATGTGATACCAGATCGAGTATATTCACTTCACGATAAAATGATGTTCAATCGAAATAAAGCAAATATCCAAACAAATAATTTTTTGGTATCTTTTTTTTCTTGAGGAGCCAACGTTAAAATTTCGCAGCCACCAGATTCGATCCTAAGACGTTAATTATGGCTGACTTGCGTTAATTCCCGCTAGGTTATATTATTTTGATGTGCGCCTCGAAATCAAGCGCTCGCGAAGTATAATTTCCAGCTAAGACCACATCATTTGCATGAGTCTAATTACTTGAAATGCCTGAATTACAAGAAAACAAATTTTCTTCGGTAATGTCTTTTCACATGAGCACCTCTTCCTTTCACAAGAAAAACTTGAGATCATCCAGATACCTTTGGCAGTTTGCTTTGTATGTCTTATATACACGCGCAATAAATTATGTATACCACGTATTTAATTTATCGTTCTCACAGTAATTAATGAAACCTAAAAATTACTAAAAAATGACCGAGATTCTACCCTATAAATGACCTGGCTACAGGTCCAGTGGTCGAGGGACCGTATATCGCGTCAACTACTTGGAATTGAAAAAACTCTAAAAACGCTCAAAAGATGCGACATAATCAAGAAAGCTTTGGTTGCGGTTGAAGGAGGTTTCGATACACAGCCAAAATCTCCGATAATAAACGTCAGCGTAAAGTGTTTAGAAAAGAAAAAAATGAAATCAATTGTTTCAAAACGTTGCATACATTTTTGACGGTATAAACCCAAACCAACATCGATGATCAGGATTTTTGAACGAAAGAGTTACTGGTTATTGCAAGATCCGCTTAATCTCAATGTGCAAGCGAGAACTTGTCGTTGGGACTTTTTCAAAATGGTAAGTTTGAAGTCACTTAATGATTTAATACATACCACTCCCGCCTACAATTCAAAGATTCGATTTTGAATCCGGATGCTCGTAGGTCGTTCGGTGGCGGTTTAAGTTATGGTCTGTATTTTTACCGGTGAAAAACCTTTCTTTGTAAACGTGAATCGTACTTTCACTGTATTCTACGAGAAAAAAAGATTTGATTATGTTTTTGCGTGGATTTCTCGGCCTTTGTGATTTTGCCTGCAACCTTTAATGAAGAGCAAAATAAGTCCTTAAAGTCAGACCATTACATCGGCCAGCTGTTAAAATTCATAACCAATTAGGTGTATTTCGCCAAAGAAAGCAGAAGCATACATTTACGCTTAAAAACTACGAATGTTTCAGAAATCATTACATTATCGAACTACAACATCAAGCTCGAAGATGGAATACTCATTCCCTACAGGAAAATTGCGTCCGGATTTTACATGATTTATACAGGATATTACGTTACGCATACGGGAGTTTATGGAGTCATACGCAATGATTACGAACGTTATGTCAGGGATGCATAAGGAGCTCATATGGTGGAAACTCAGTCAATTAAGACAGAACTTTAGCCACTTGAATGCTGCGAAATTATCGAGGGACAACGTGCTCCACTGAATAATCTTAATGGATCAAACCGCAAAGATGATACTTTCACCGCAGTTCTTCCTAAAGTGAAGACAGAGGCTATCTTGAGTCAAGGTATCGATTATATGTTGAATTTCGCTAATGATCCAAAACTTGAGGATTTCGGAATAGTAGTCAACACACAAATAGCAAAGACTCTCGGTCGAATTTTGGATCCTCTGATTATAGCTTATCATTCGCTTCCTAAGTACAGTGCAAAACTCAAACCACATAATGAAACTTGGAATTTTTGTAGATGAAAATTCATTAGAAGTGGTATTCTATTGAAATCTTGGTTTGTCATATGCTGTGTTCATGAATACCTGTCTCGTCAGGATGTCAAGAGCTTCATTGTTACGTTGGTTAAGACTTGTCGTGATCAAGGAATGGTGTAAATCCAAATGGAGATTTCAAAAAAATATTGTGGTTCAAGAAACTACCTTTCTAAGAGATCTCAAATTATCCTGTTTCTTCTTCTAACTGCAGGGGCGGAGAACAAGAGAAAAGACTAAATTTCCACTTGCCATCTATGAACGTAGACTGAATCTGAGCCTTTATCTCAATATAATTAATATGCGTGGGCAGCTCAATTCTGGCTGTTATCACAATATATCATCGCCGATAATATCCGGGAAGGCCCTTCTTACTTCGCAAATGTTGCCTTGAAAATGAATTTGAAGCTTAGTGGAATTAACTCAATCCTCAACGTGGAAATCGGTTCTTACAAAGGATTATCATGTATCATGATGGTGTACCTAAGAATCAATATAAATTGTTCTTGAATATGAATTGATAGCTCTTGTAGAGAATTCAAAGATGTAGATGGAAAACTCGTGATATTCCGGTTACCTTTATCGCCGTCAATAAAAGACACCATGTTCATATAAACGCAACAAACAAAAGAAGCGCTGATGAAAGTGGAAATTGTCTTCCTGGAATAATCATTGATCGAAAGATCACGCACCCGTATCTTTTCTATTTTTATTTATACTCTCATTCTAGTATTCAAGGAACATCGCGACCAGCACATTACATCGTGTTACATGATGTAATAATTTTTATGTCGATATCCTTCAAGCTTTCACTTACAAACTTTTTTATAATCACGATCAGTTTTTTTTTACTTGTCCGCCAAATACGACCTTGCAACTCAGAAAGAGATGGTACTTATGAATTTCGGCCAGTATTTTCAATGTTTGAACAAACCTCTAATATATTGCATGTAATCATAAGAACTCTCGCATACACAAAAAATCAATGAATGAACGAATGAATCAATCAATCAATTAATCAATCAGCCTTAAACGCTGAAGAAATCAGAAATCAAGTTTTCCAAATCTTAGTTAAAAATCAAAATAAAATCATTTCTTCTTTTTATAAACCAAACATTTCTCACGAATATCATATCAATAATCATTTTTGTCTTTATCTTATATTCAGGTATTTTTACATAAATTTTATACATAAACTGATTAAATTGTCATTTTATCATGTGCTTGCGTATAGACTTGGTGGATTTCTTAGTAGTTTTTTTTTCTTAACACAGTCTTTATCGCTACTACTCATCTCTTACCAAAACAATGACCGTTTTAAAGTATAACAAAGTAGATTATCGTATTAGTAGTAATGAATGAATGATATCGGAATGGCAATGAGAAAATGTATTTCGTGCTAAGCTTTAAGAATTCGAATATGATGCTTGTAGCGGATTTTTAGCTGCTTGCATCCAAATCATTAGCAGATACCATATGAATGGGTTCGCTCGATTTCACGTATCAACCCGGGTTCATTTAGTATAAATGACTTTTATGTGTTAAGGACATGCTATTCATCATTATCTGGTAAGTTTATTTAAACACCTTTTAAAAAGTCATTTGAATCAAGGAAATGAATGTATCGGTATTTGGCCTCATTGTACTTTAACAATGAGACCAAGGAACGAGCGAGTCATTATATGATAAGCTATCCAATCTATCTTGTCTCCGAGACTCAGATATACTTTTGAAGAGAAAATCTCATATTTCCAGGTTGAGGATGGTTTGAACTCGGGCTTATTATTATGTAATTATCATAGTGTACTACTTTGTACCTCCATTGTTGAACTTTGTGTATGGATTTATGGATTTTGTTTTTGTAATTTATACTAATTTTATCTATCCTTACACAATAAAAAAAGGGATCGTTATTACATAACCTATCTGATCATGTGATGTAAGAATTTCATGCAATTTTATTCGTGGTAAAATAAGTTTGGATTCAAAGTCAAAGTATATATGGGTTCAATAAAAGTTCCAACTCTTTTAAAGCTCCTTGATCCAATACCAGCACTTCATGTCCGATAATATTATAGACATCACCAGCCTCCAAAATTTCTTGCGCTGTTGAATAATGGACACGTTGCAAATTACGTTGAGCAAGCTCAAAATTCCGTGTTCTATTTGCACCGACAAACATTATCGAGTGACCGGCTCTTCGTTCAATTGCTAATGGATCCCATAGACGACGATTTAGAATGTCTGTCAATTCTTTGGTCTTCGCCTTAGGAACATCAATGTTATTGACTATGTATAATTGATCTTGTGCGTATTTACTGGAAAGTGCTACACGTAAACCAAGTTCACGAACTTGACGGGGTAGATCTGTGGCATGTGACCTAGGACGAGGCCCATGTGCTCGACCCCCTTAATAATTGTTATCCGCGACATAACGTCAATAATTAATTAACATTTATTCAGAGATTAAAATTAAATTAATAAATACCTCCCACAAATTGAGGCGCTCTCCGAGTTGAAACTCTTGCTTTCCCTCTTCCTTTCTGAGGTGCTACTTTCCTAGTTGATCCGCTCACTTCGCTTCTAGTTTTTGTCGAATGAGTTCCTTGTCGCCAGTTATCACGCTGCCAAACCACTACTCTATGTAAAATATCTCGTCTTATTGGAACCCCGAACACATGTCGATCTAAAGTAATAACATCTAATAGCTCATTAGTTTGAAAATCTCTTAGCCACGCTTCTAATCGAGATGGTAAGGGAGAGATTGCTAATAAAATTATTTTTATAGGTGTTAGATCTTAATATCCAAATTTGATTGATGATTATTCAAATAATAATTGTGAATTTTTCGATCAAATACCTTGAGGTTTTATTATAACAGGTCGACTGGGAGCCTCAGTAGCAAAGTTTCTTAATAATTGATGTTCTATTGGCTATCTAGTGAGAAAAGCGCACGCTTAGCCGACGTCTCAAAGCTTCAAATTCGTATTAAAGGGTTAACTAATAAAGTTCTTTCTTTTACCTTTCTCGCGAGAAAAGCAATACCAAAAACTTTGTTCGAAAAAACACCACTTCTCCCAAATAAAAAGGTTGTTGCAAACTTGGCATTCATTTGCTAATATGTCCCTTTAACTTTTTTTTTACTAGAATAACAATAAAATTCCTGATCAGCATTACTTTTTATGGACACGCTAAAAAATTTATTCATTGGAAATTACATATATTGGATATCGAACATATTATAAAGAAAAATTAGTCAATTCCGCGATAATACGCGTCAAAATCGCAGTCAGCACGGAATTTTTATGAGAATTAATTGAAGTAATTATAGTATTTGAGTTGGTGTCATTATTGTTGAAGATATTATTATTATTATTCTGTTGATGCTCATTATCGATGTCGAAAGGAGAAAGATAAACATCACATATAACATCATTCAGTAATCTTGTGTCGCTATTTTTATTTTCTGCTTTTTGCCATTCTTTAATCCGCAGGAAAATCGAAAAGACGAAATTCTGTATATGTTTTGGAGAATATGAGATTAGGAAACAAAAAATTAATGAATAATTTATCTAAAATAAAATATGAAAATAACATTACATGTTCCTCCGTTTCGTCCTCGTCCTTTTCATTTAATTTTGATTTCACTATTAGTTCAAAACATAGTCGCTCATCCAGTCCAACACTTTGATGTACATTCCATAATTTGCGAAGTATATTGGGAGATATCTTTATGGAAGTTGTTGATGACAAATCTGAAAGTGTTTGTAATATGGATGAAGTAGAAGATGTGGAGGTATCATAATGAAGATGTTTCTCACACTTGTAAAGAAGAAATCAAATGATTAAACGCTTAGTGTATAAATAAGTTGATTTATACTAATAGAAATTCACAAGGTTTGTCTATTTATTCACCTGATCAATCAAATTCATTCCAAAGACATGATTGACTTGTAAATATTTCCGAGTGCCAGGACTTGGAAAAAATAAAGTAATCCTTACATCATACTAAAAAAACGAACCAGAAGAAAATCAGTAACTGCAAAATCAATGCATGTACATAGAAAATTTGGATACACCATAGATCCCAAAAGCATCGATATCAAATTTGGTTGAACGCACATCAACTCGTATATGCTCAATTTTTTTATTAAGGACCCGACCCTTTCGACTTATCCAGGCTGACTATGTAGTTATGTAAAAGATAACTTACCGGAGCAAAATTTGGTGGTGTTATCCGAAAAGTTTCCGTTATTTTTGTGAATGGGGAAATAACAAAGTTAGAACCATCACCATTATCATTATCCCCTGTTATTAATGAAGAAACCATAGTGACTGTTTCATCATCTTCTTCTCGATTAATATTATTATCGTGTATTTTTCGAGAACGCGTTGATCCCGAAATTCTAGTGAAACGGATAAATTATTAGATTAAAAAAAGGAGAATTAAATAATTGATGATAAGAAAATTCCATTTACCCCGAGGCAGCAATACTATCATTGATTTTTCTTTTTAAAGAGTTGATGCACTCTAATACCACAATTTCTTCCTAATCGTGCAGATAATTAAGCATAATAAAAATATCGTGAAAAAATATTATTTGAATACCTTTTTATTAAACTGGTTTATAAAAATCAATTTCAGTGAACCATTCGCTATGGGAAATTGACTAGCATTCGATACTGTGACTTCGAGTAAACTCGGTATGGTTTTAGTCTTTCCTTCCTCTCTCTTGGCAGATTCGTTTTTATGAATTGGTATGATGTTCGTTTCTATCAAGATTTTAATAAGCTTTCACTCAAAATATCGACATAATTGAAAATTAATTTAATACCAATACGACAATTAGACGTCAACAACTGTTCCATAGCAGAATTCATGACATGCATTATTTCCAGCGACTGTTTAAGATTTTCTGCGAGTGTCTTAATTATAAAAATTCACCTCATTAATTGAATCGATAGTAGTAAAAACTAACGAAATATAAAAATAAATGCAATCTATCGTTCAATTCGTATTAACTAACCGTGTAAACTGAGCTAAAAGAATTTTGAATACTTAATACGTTGGTCTGAAGCATTTCTGTCATTGAGTTCCTAATAATTATTTTGTTTTATCGACTGTTATTATAACGAGTAACATGGATGTGTTATTGAGAAATAGTTTCTTTTATTACATTAGACCAATATTATTTGTATTGTTCATCCCTTCGACGCCATTCTTCTCAACTTTAATATTTTCTTTGTCCTTGATGGCAGTATCAAGAGCACCTTGTCCCGGATTTTCGTTGTCCATGTCAAAAGACAAAGACTGGATAGATAACCTTTTTTTTAAATATCGACGACGCGTTTGTGCGACATTGAGAAGCAACAATGCAAATCATCATCATCGAGAAATTTGGGTAATTTCTGTGATCACATGCTTCCAGCATCCCACAAAGTTTCTACGCGTTTGTTGGGCTCAATAGGCTTAGTAAAAATTCGTCGATGAACAATTTTACATCATATAATCCAGAAAATACATAATCCATATAATACATAATTCCGATAAAAAAATTTCTCGCTCCTTTTATCTATCCTTGTGTGGAACTTTTTGATTCATTAAGAGTAAAAGAATGACCTCGAGAGGAAGTAAGACCCCTAAAAGAACTTCCAAAAAAAAAGACGTCGTTATCGAGCCCCCCCTTTCACCCGAAGATAGCGAGGAACAAGTTGACCAACTAACGGGTGACCTCGAAGATATGCAAGTTGATACTACCCTCCTCGAAACGGAGAAAATCAAGAAAAGCAACGGTGAACCTGCTGGTGAAACTGATATAATCGAAGAAAAAGAAAAAGGAAAAGAGAACGAGGTAGAAGAGTCGCAAGAGGAAAAAGAAAGAATTCGGAAGCGTAAGGGAAAGGAGAAAGAGCATGACGAGGATTACGTGGAACAGGAGGAACAAGAAGACGACGAGAATGTGGTTTCTGGGGACGACGTTTATTCCGTTGAGCGTATTCTAGATCATCATGTTAGAAAGGTCTGCTAACGAAATGCAAAATGGTTCCCCTATTTATTTTGTTTAATTAATTAAGAGTATCATTCTAACAGGTTTCATGTAAATGAATTTTATTTATTCTGTTAGGGAAAACTGCAATATCTAATAAAGTGGCAAGGCATGAATTCATTTCATATCGAAAATTAACCAACAAACAAATAAACAAACATGGCTTATCAGTTTATTTATTGTTTTGTCCATTTATTTGACAGGATACCCTGAGAGCGAGAGTACTTGGGAAGACGAAGAAAATGTGTAAGGTTCTTTTGATGATTTGAAAATCGATCAACTTATTATACGCACACACGTATACATAACATTATTTGATATATATGCACAAAATAGATTCTGCCGAGACTTGATCACAGCATATTGGGATGAAAAAGAAAAATTCTTAGACAATGAACGAAGAGAAGAATGGCGAAGTCAGCCAGACATCATGAAGGCAAAGATGACAGCTCGCTCTACTAAAAATACTGCTTTCACGAGAGATAACCCTGTGCAAACTCGTTCACAGGCCCACCCCACTAGTGTTCCTGCAAGTCCGCCAAGTCCCTCGAGGGTTCTCCGAGAAAGAGCACCGGCAAAGTTAAAAAAGATGAGGAAACAAGCTAGAACGGAATCTTCCGCGTCGGAAGCAGAAACATCCGAAAGGGTGGAAACACGCACGAAAGAAGGTGGGAAGACCACGGAGGCTGGCCATTCAAAACTAAATGGCAGGAGAAAACGAAAGTTTATTGATGAGAAGGCAGGGGAAAAAGAAAAGGAGAATCAAAAACGACAGAGAATAGAAGAACAAGAGAGAATTCAAAGTCACATTTTAGACGAAGAATTTAATCCTTCCGAGATTGAAGGAAGTTGGGAGCCATATGTCAAAGAAGTTATCACCGTATACCCAACTACTGAACAAAATGTATTGAAAGTTTACGTATTATGGTAAGGTATTCTTTTTGTTTTAACCTTTTTTTTTGTTTTCACAAAATGTTAAAAATGATTTTTTTGATTTTGTTATTAGGCAAAATGGTAAAACCACAGTTCATCTGAATAATCTAATCAATGTTAAATGTCCTTTGAAAGTAAGTCATTGATCGACTAATCATCAATTAATTAATACATAAGATTAATGTTTGCTTTATCTTAATTATGCAAAGATGATTGAATTCTACGAAAAAAGGTTGCAATTCTCAAGGAAAAAGAGTCAAAATTCATGAATTTAAACAACTCGATAAATCTCAGCTATTGATTAGTTGTTGTTGATAAACGGAGGGAAGATGTCTCACATATCTATACTGTCATTGATAATATCACATATAAATAGTATGAAATTATTGGTCATTTTTTGGGTGGTTTTTTTTTATAATTTCGGGTTGTTTGTTGAGTTTCGATTTTTATAACGTGAAAAATATTATAATTTTTCTTATTAATTTGGAAATATCTTTTATTGTTTGTGTTCAACTCGATGTTCGATTTTAATGCCTTTTCCAAATAAATTTGTTCAACACTTTCTATTAAGAACGATTTAACTTAACTTTCGAAAACTTAGATTCGTGATCATATAATAAATTAATTCTTATATAAAACACATTATCAGTCTATTACTGAATAATTAATTCTACCACTACAAAACTATGGAATCTGTATGCTGCTGGTAGGTAGCTGATCTCGCCATATTTCTAGATCTTAAAAGATCTGACTTTGACTCGTAAGTGAACATCCATAAATTATAGATAGTTTGTCGAGTTAAGCTATAAATATGACACTTTCAGGATTAAAATCAATCAATTACCACATAAATACCAAAAGTGCTAATTGTTCTCCGCCAGTTCCTTTAACTTCAGTACCGGGCGACCTGTGATAAGCGTTCAAATATTAATTATTGAAAATAATTCGAATATGATCGATATAATAATTTTCGAGACCAACGACAACGTATCTGACAACTAATCCTCTGTCGCCCAGTCCACTGTACATGCGTCATCAATTGTCAACTAACAAAAGAACTATTTTATAGTGTATGTATGCTTTCGATTGTTAGAGTTGTATCCTATTCACCATGAATCCTCCAGGGCGTAGCCATGTAAAGGACACCGGAACTAGGAACAACGTTCACCGTCGAAACAGTGGTCACAATGCGCTTTCGATTCCCAGACCAATGTGATCAGATACACAACTCCTCAACATAAATCAGTGAGAAACACTCATCTGGATAGATTTAGATTACTTCCTGGTTATGAAGTTGAAGGAATTTATAAATAGTCGAGTAAAGATTTCCTAAACCATATTATTACGCTTTATAAAATTTGCTATATTAAAAGTCATGCTCTTTTTTGTTGAAAGCAAAGAGGTTTGTTTGCCGTGATCGGGTGGTTTTTCGCGCTTGGCTCCGGTATGATCACTTTCCATACTATTCACTTCTCAAAACATCCATGATTGAGATCGAACTTCCTTCTTGAGGAGCATTTTAAAAATCGAGAATCGTAATTTTTTACACTTCCATAAAAAATTATGATAATTTTGGCCAAATGATTACATGATCCGCATAATTTTGGCCAAAAATTTAATATTCTCAAAACCACGATGACATCCAGTAAAATATTTTTTATTAGCGCATCAAAAGCTATTTCATAAGCGATCTCATTAAAATTATGATTATACTTTACAAAAAAAAAAGATCTTTCAAAATATTTGATGCGATTAAGTGTGGTACACCATAAACAATAATCAAATTTTAAATGATAAACTTTAATCAATAAGATAAATTTATTGAATTATTTCTTGAAAAATCTTAACAAATTATTATATTATATATAATTAATAAAATAGTAAATTTTGTTATAACAAAATTTATTATTTGGTAATAATGCAAAAGTTGTTGACATTGAATATATTTATAAACATTATTATATGATTTAATAATATTGCGCAATATAAAAAGCAAGAATTGATTGATGGATTTAACCTTTCATTATTCGTAATTGTTTACGCCCTTTTTTGTGATCTTCGAAACTTCGCCCAGCACGGCTTTGTGGTCCAAATTGCTTATGCATAACAAAATTCCAATGTACCATAAACCACGAAGTATGAAAAGCGAGATTATCATAAAATTCTGATGCGATCTTTCTAACTTCTGGAAGTTTTGACCATGGAACCTATATGATAAAGAGATATATTTAATTGTTGAGTTATTAAATTTAATGAGATTCTATCCTCGCTATAAAGGATCCGGTGAAACAGAATCCCTCGGAATGGATCTGTTATGGTTATTTTTGTTATGTTGGAGATTCACAGATACGTTATAACGAGGGTAGCGTGTATTTATTAATAACATTCTTCACCTTGGTAAAATCATGATGTTCATTATGATATCCAATATTCATGAATAGCAAATTAAGAATGCCATAATACGAATAAGTTTCTTGTCCATCATCAAATGTGTAATGTTCTTGAATGAAATGTGCAGCAGCCGGATGCACCCCATACCCAAGCCAAAGAGATAAGAATAAATATCCAAGTCCTCTTGGCCCACAATAAATATAAATCAATAGATCCGTAATGATTGTAAATATCCAATTCACCCATTCCCAGAATTGTGGTTGTTTTTGCATTGCTACTCCGCGTACAACGTACATCACCGGATAAATGTTTAACCAAATAAATTTCAAAAACGCATTCCCGCGTATGAATTTTTTTTCCCAGTCTAATGGGAGATCAGGATCCATCCCGACAACTCCTTGAAATGTGTGATGCTCAAGATGATACCGACGAAATGACATTGCTATCGGGAATGGTAATCCAATATTGGCGATCAGACCAATAATTCGATTTTGGAATGACGTTGGAGCTGCCAGACAATGACATGCTTCATGGATGATGACACCATATAGTTGTGTCAAGGATGCCCCTATTACATACGAATAAACTATCATTGTCCAGTTCCAGTCTGTTAATATTTTACCGAATACGTATGCCGCAATCAGTTGTGCTACGACAGCAACTATAGTTATTGGAATGGTCGTCACATCGTAACCATAAAGCTTCTCTATTTCGGGATATTTTTTGAGAATGGTAACTTTACGTTTCATGTGAGGCTCGTCCATGTCATCGATTGCAATGTCATCGTTCACATAAGGTACAGACTTTTTCCAATCACCGAGATAAAGTGGGTGTCTGTAATCTGGATTGTCCTCATCTTTGTCAGGTAAGGGGGCATCTCTCGATATATCTGTAAAAGGAGGCATGACTGAGTTAGCTTAAATATTATGAAAAAGCAAGCCTCTTGGTGTTTTACTATTAAGGAAAAATTTTCCCCATACAAGTAGAACACTTGGTTAAAGATACGAGATTCAAAATTATAATTACTATAAAATTTTTTCTGATGTTTACTGATGTTTAGTGAGCTGATCGAAAATAAAAAGCTGTGCTCAGTTCCTGATCACAAAACAAAAGTTGCGTAAAAAAATAAAATTGATCGATTAAAGTGCCGGGTCGGAATCGGATCGGAATTACACGACACGACACCTTTTCTTGACGTGGAACAAGTTCCGATCACCATATTTTTCCGACCCTAACGATATGAGCATCATCCGAATTGCGCGCGAATATTATCGGTAGAAAATTTGTAATGTCAAAGAAGCCCGAGAGAAGAGCAGGTTTATTTCATTTTATTTTATATATTTCAAATTGATATATTGATATTCTAACGTAGCAATGCACTTTTGAATTAGTTGTTCTGGATGAAACAACTCGTAAAAGGAACGTTGAGCGTCATTTGAATGAACTTGAACGCGACAACTATGCAGAAGTCCCAGGCTTGGAAATAACAGGAACTTTGTCCAAACCACGAAGAACTTCAGAAGTTGATTTGAATCAAAATGGTAAGTGAGTGGCATTCAAGGGTCTGGTTAACGTCTTCTACAGTGTTTATCTTTCGCCTGTAGGTCAAAAAAAGAAGGCACGGACCAAAAAAGAACTGATTAAACAGTTGTGCGTGAAGAAAAACCTGAATTTGCTGCTTGAAGAATCGGTAAAATCATTTTAATTATTCGCTGCTTGGGGAATTGTGTGAAAAAAAAACCTTGTGACCAAATTTTTTACGATTTGCAGCGAATTGAATTACTCCCACCCGATACGCCGACGTATTTGACATCAGCAGCGGCGCCTTCTAGGTATCCTCCGCGCAAATTCTGCTCAGTTTGTGGCTACTTATCAAATTATAGTTGTAGAACATGTGGAATGAAATATTGTAGCATTAAATGCAAAGAGACCCACGAAGAAACAAGGTCTTTATTGATAATATTTTTATATAATGATTTTTGATTCTTTATCATAAATAATCTCCAATCTATAATTTTATTTTCAGGTGCATGAAATACACAGTTTGAACGCTTCGACAAAAATTCACTTAATGCTGTATAAAAGATTGTTCGACTTGAACTTTATGTGATTCAGAATGATTATTTTACTCTGTTAAGTGCCGAGGCGTATTTTAACTTAGGTTCGTTTAATGATAATCTATTGCCCAAAACAGAAAACGCAAATCAAAGTTATGATCTGATCGTTTCTACACATTTGGGCTAGAATAACCAGCATCGTTTCCTATATTATTCTGCCATTTAATATATAGTATTTATTTATATGGTCTCCCAGATGTTGACATAACGATAATAAAAAGCAAATTAAATTCTGCCGAAATTTATCAATTAGTCCGTAATTTTTTCCGAAATAGGATTATCAACTTTCATTGTTTACGCATTCTCTCACTGTAAACATGGCATACAAATCTAACGCATTAATATTACTATTTGTATTATGTTTTACTAAACTTGCCTCTGGATTTTACATTCCCGGTCTTAGTCCGACCACATATGAATTTGGTGATGTAGTGCCGCTATATGTCAATAAAATATTTTCCGACAAAACACAACTTCCTTTCGCGTATGGTGACTTACCCTTTGTATGTCCGGTTGAGAAAGGTGGGAACCGCTGGTTAAATTTAGGCGAGGTATTAAGAGGAGATCGCATCGAGCTTTCAAAGTTCAAGGTATTTAGAACTCATTCCCTCCTGAGAACACGTCAATAAAAGCTGGCTACATGTCTCTTATTAATTTGAAGATTAAAGCGTTGGAAAATAAAACATGTTCGATATTATGTGCGCGGGATTTAACGGTTGGTGAATCTATGGAAGCTAAACATTTGATATCAAAGGATTATAAAGTAGAATGGTTGGTTCTAATCACAATCATTTCTGAAAAACTATCATTTTCTTTATCTTGAATTATTGAAATAGAACAAATTGAATTCTTAGGATCATTGATAATCTTCCTGGTGCCACCGCTTATAAAACCATAGATGGAAATCATAAGCAATATGAGGTTGGATTTAATCTAGGAGAAAAGGAAGAAAAGGTTTGCTTTGACCTTTTTTTTTTTAAACCAAGAATTTAGATATAAAGTCAAGCTTAGCTTACATTTTTTTCTATGTTAGAAAAAAGATGTGATTAAGACTTATCTTAATAACCATTTCGCCTTAAGAATATTATACGAGAAAAAAAATAATGATCCTAACGGCATTCTTATTGTTGGATTCGAAGTAGAGCCGAGATCGTAAGTCAAAATTCGTAATTATACTTTGTCTGGAATCGCAGGAATTATAATAAATTATTTATGGATACTTTTATTCATGCAGCATTTTTGGGTTAAAAGGTGCTTGCCCCGATTATCCAAACAATCCTGAAAATCCTAAATTAGAAGTTGACGCTAGCACAACGCAAGTCACTTATACTTACTCTGTTGATTGGCAAGAAGTAATTTAAATAGATTTTGCTCAATCGGTTGTCTTTAGCGTTTTCCATTATATTAATTAATTGGTTTTTCGATTTTTAGACCAAAGATGTTACATGGGGAAATCGATGGGATCTTTACTTGACTAATTCGGATCCTCAAATTCATTGGTATTCCATTATCAATTCCCTGATCATTGCCTTATTCCTTTCAGCCATGGTAGCCATCATTATGCTTCGGACACTTAACAGAGATATCGCGTTGTATAATGAAAAAGATTTGAAAATTGTATGTAGAATATAATATATATTTCAAACGTCATTTTTTAAATGTAATAGGATTAACGATGGATTGCATTCATATATTCATATATAATAGGAAGATCAGGATGACACGACTGGTTGGAAATTGGTTCATGGAGATGTTTTCAGACCTCCTAAATGGGGTGGTCTTTTGTCACCACTGCTTGGCTCGGGGGTGCAAGTTTTATTTATGGGAATATTTACAATGGGTATGTATTTCACCCTTTTTTTTCTTTTATTAAAAAAAGACACGCTATATTTCCATCACTAAACTGACTTATTTTGTATTTTAGTATTTTCATTATTGGGTGTCTTAAATCCTTCTTATCGTGGTGGTTTTGTCTCTTTTGCTCTATTTCTATTTGCCTTCTCTGCGTAGGTGTTCTTCATAGATATTCATAAAAAGACAAGCTCATAATTTCGAATTAAATTCTATCTACTTTCTACGTGCAATAGAGTTTTTGCTGGCTATTATAGCTCACGAATGTATAAAGTCTTTAAAGGAACAGCATGGAAAAAGAATGCAATTGTGGTATGTATATGTTCGTGGTTATGGTTTTTTTAATATTTTAATAATTGAATAACATATGATTAAAATATGTTTGCAGACTTCAATTTTATTCCCTGGCTTCATCTTTGGTGTCATTTTTATATTGAACCTCTTCATATGGTCTCAACATTCATCGAGTGCAATTCCTTTTGGCACTTTCTTTGTTTTAATCTCTATTTGGTTCTTTATCTCCTTACCGCTTTCTTTAATTGGAGCTTACTTTGGCTATAAGAAAACAACAATTGAACACCCAGTACGCACTAATCAAATTCCACGCCAAATCCCCGAACAAATTTGGTATTTGCAACCTGGAATTAGGTACATATAATTTAAATATAGCAACAATTCAATTCGTAAAGCACAATTATATTTTGTAATTCAATTTATTTCTTATAATTTTCCAGTATAATGATCGGTGGATTGATGCCATTCGCGGTTATATTTATTGAATTATTTTTCATATTAAAATCAATGTGGCAAGATCAATTTTATTATATGTTTGGATTTCTCGGATTGGTTTTTATTATTTTGGTGGTAACAGTTGTTGAAATCACCATTGTAATAACGTATTTCCAACTATGTGGAGAGGTATGACAATGAAATTTGCTGTCATGTTACGTTATATAACATACCTTTTCTAATGCAATTTTTTTTTAAAACAGAATTATCATTGGTGGTGGAGATCCTTCTTTGTTGGAGGAAGTTCAGCCTTCTACATATTTCTATACAGCATTTTTTATTTCGTCAGGCTACAGATCTCTGGCTTCATCCCGACCCTTGTCTACTTCATGTACAGTTTTCTAGCGTCCTGTGTATTCGGTTTGTTAACTGGCACATTAGGCTTCTTTAGCACATATTGGTTCGTGCGAAAAATATATTCTGGTAATTATCTCGCATTTTGTATCATCATCTTTTCTTTGTCCTAATCGCGGTGTTCTAATGAAAATTCATCAATTGTGCCCTCTCACGCTAATATATAGCAATCAAAGCTGATTAGGTCCAATGTCTTGATTGCTACGTACATATTTATTGTTGTTAACTTTATCTTTTTATTTTTAATGAAACTTGGGTTTTCATAACGCGTAATCCTTACTACTAATATAAATATATATGTATATATATATATATATATTTAATATATATATTCAAACTTTCAAGTATAATTAATAAATATAAAAAAATGTTCCGATCAATTATATTATAATTCATCTTTTTGTGTGCTCTGAGATGACGGTGGTGATTTTTCATTGGGTAAAGGTGACATAGGACAAAAGACATATTTTGCCACTTTGCCGATTCCATAAGTTGACATTGCATCCGATATAAAAGTGATTAATTCGCCTACTAATGGCACTAGTCTGGCAAGCTTAAACACTCCTTTAGTGCCTTTCTTTGTAATCAACTTTATTGCAACTCGTTTGTTAACAGCTGCTAATGCAGTGTTTGGTATACTTGTAACCATTCGACGCATCATGATCGTAGCTAAATCGCGTGCAATTTGCGCAGTCGAACTTTTCGCGCTATTTGACGCTACGCATAGATAAACCATTGTTCGCACTGCATCATCGTTCGTATCTAATCCAGCCAAGGACGCAATGCTCTTTACCATGTGTACTTGGATGGCCAATGCGCTCATCACATCAACCAATACATGAGTCTTTGCGTCAATTCCTGTACTTTTTGACACGTGATTTAATACGGCGGAAGATAAACCAGCCGACAAAGAATTATAAAAAATCGTACGATCCGATTTGTAGCAATATGTTTCATTGGCGGTATTACAAGTAGTTGTGGTGGTGCTCGTAACTGTGATGATGTCGTCTAAGATTTTATCAGCGGTTTGTCGACTACGAATAGCTACCGAGGTGACAATCGCTTCAACTGGTGCGGAACGTGGCGCGAAAGGTTCATATGTCTCTTCAGAACGAAAATACGGGATTTCAGTGACAGAGTCGTATATTGAATCAAGGAGCAGCATTGCTTTCAACGCTTCAACCTGTCTTTCTGTAGAACTACTCGCAGTAAGCTTGCTAACTTCCTCATTATTTAGGTCTTTAGATGGTGGATTAAGCCCAAGTTGCGTGACGAGACTTTGCAAGATTGGTGGAGGTGGGTTTTCTCTTGCCAATTGTATCTTACCACTAACAACTGTCTTAGCAATGTTTTCGCCCCAGTCGCGTAAAGTTGCTACACCTTCTATTGAGTCAAGGTTTACATCGAACGAGTCTAGAAGAAAGGCCTCGTCACTGGATAACAGTTCTTCTAGGCGTGTAAAAGGGTTGTCGTCGTTTGAAGGTAGTATTGGAGAAGGTGTTTCAGTTCTAGCCAGTGTATAGAATAAAATAAATGACCAAATTGATAAATAAATACAAAAGATGGTAAGCAGGCGTTTGTGGCACGAAAAAGAACCCATTTTTTTTTAAATTCACACGTAAAAACTGGAAAGTTCATTTATAATGAGTGACAAGAATAGGTGATTGGCCAGATCAATCGCTATTTTGTAAGTCGAACTTTCGAAAAAAAAAGGTAATAAACATGCCAAATATAATCAATTCTTCACAAACTTCGTTCTCAGAAAATGGCTTTCAAACCGCACCAAGTAACAAAGGAAAGGAAACCATTCAAAGTATTGTGACCTCAGCAAAGTCTCTTTTACGTGAAGCATTACCAACAGTGCCTCAGGCCACCACCTCAAGCTTGGCTTCTATAAATCAAACAAATGGAAAAACCATTGGAGACTCCTCAACGCATGCTTCAGTTTCCACAAATCTAGATTGGGAAACCAATTTCAAGGAACATTTGGGAAGTCAAAGTGTAGAAGGAAGTAATTTTAGCATTAGTCGAAGTAACTTCCGAAGCGAAAACGATCATTCCTACGGGTCTCAAGAATGGGAAGATTGGGTTTCTCCCGAAACGAGTTTAGATAAATTCGTTATTCCACCAAACTCACATGCAGAAACCGTATTTCAATCTGCCAAATTTGAGACAGACATCCCAAATGAAGGCAAAAAAACGCATAATATGCCAGATGGCGCGGAAGTAATTGATTTTCTAAATTCAAACTCTTTCACAGCTGAAATTTATTGCCCGATCGATACTGGGCACGAAATAGAAAAACATCGCGATCATTTTCTGTCGCCAAACACCAAAAATCTGGGTCCTGCAAGTTCTTATATAAATGCACTGATAGATGCAGAAGATATTGTCGCATATCTTAGAGAGACTCGATACACTGATGACGTGTACGGAATACCGAATTTCTTAAAAACAGCAATTAATGAAGCGTTGAATGAGGAGAAACAGAATCAAGTTACGGAAACACATCGCCAAACAGCTCTAAAAAGATTGGAAATGGTGCGTAATCATCTGATACACGTGCGAAATGAGACTTATGCCAGTAGGCGGACTCAATATGATGATTATGATGATGATGATGATGATGATAATAATAATAATAATAATAATAATGTTGATGAGATCGATAATACAAAGAAAAGGGTGGAAAAGTTGATTGATAGAATGAATAACCATAGTGATATTATCAATAATGACTGGCGAGAAGAATTTGACCTCAGTTGGCATAAAAATCGAGAGTAAGTAACTACGTTATGACGAGAGAAGATAATAACTATAACGTAATAAATATAACAAATGCATATTGTTAATTTAAGTCCGAGTTTTCTCAGCTGTGTTTGCATGTCACCGGTAAGAAGATAATGTCAAAAAAAAATGGCATTAATTTTTTTGAACAGTAGAGTAACATATTTTTTTAGAATAACATTTTTAATATACACCTCGATTATCTTCGTCTTTGGAAATAGTTTTCCTTTGTCTATAATTGTCAAATACGAAAAATTCGAGCGTACGCTAGAATCGATCGTGTATATGGAATTTTTTAGTTACAATAAAGTCGTGCTGCCATTTATCTTAATTTTGGCCAATGCCCAGGCAAAATTATGACTCATCTTGATAAATCAAAAATAAACATCTAAATGTCATCGTGAAACGGCAAATTATTTATCACAGTTTCATTCTCACAAGTTTCTTTTAGACTACCATGACTCGTAGGACTCCAAGGAAGAACAAAGAACAAATGTTCGAAGTAGAAAAAGTTCTAGACGAAAAACAGGAAGACGGACAAAGATTTTTATTAATTCAATGGAAAGGCATAGATCCAGATACGCGAATTAAATGGGAACCTACCTGGGTATTTTCTCTAAGCATCTGAAAAAGATCTCTATATTATAAAACTTACCCTTTTTCTTTTTTACTCAAATAGGAACCAGAGGAGTATTGTACTCTGGCAGTTGTCCAAGATTGGAATAGACAAAAGGAAAATCGCCTTGACGCCACTACGACGAATAATAATTCTATTAATTCCATTAACGAAGTTGTTAGAACAGAACGGCCTAAACGTTCACTTTATAAAAGAAGGACGCCTTTGTCAGAACAATACACCCCAAGATTTGTGAATTTTCCGGGCGTCAATGCTTCACCTGACGCAAAGGCCCGTTTTATTCAACGTTTTCCTACCTCATATGTTAATATGGAAGAGGCGGAAGAGGAAGTTGTAATATTTTCTAATGATATTATAAACTCTTCAAAATTCAATTCGAACGATGGACTTCATTCATCTAATATTTCAAATAATATGATTGATAATAATGACCAGAGCATTGATTTCATCGAATCAAGTTCCTCCGTTTCACAAAATTCTCAGGCTGCGATATTTAATAATAAACTGGGAAAATCTATTATGATCCCGGCGCCAATTTCGTATGCACAGCAAAAATTATATATAATGATGTACAATGATCAAGATGGTGTGAAACAACAACTGAAAGTTTCATCAATCTCACATCCAGTTGCCTCGCTTGATTCACCGATTTTCAAGAAGTTAAATCAATTGAATACCCTGTGTGATAATCCGAGGTTTCTTGATTCATCAATCAGCTCTTCGAGCAGTTACTTGTATGCATTAGATGAGCCGGGTAAATTATTATTGCTCAAGAATTTACTTCCACGATTATCTCTAAATGAACATAATCTATCGATTGCGATTGCTGTTCAGCCGAGTCTGATGGTATGAAAAATATATATTATTTAACTTCTGTGCTCTTATTCAAGGTTGATGACAACTTTCACTTTTTTTTTTTAAAAGAATACAATGCAAGAATATCTTCACAAAATTCACATATCTTTTCAAGTCATCGAGTCAATTGAGAATATAAATCTCCAGAGTCGGTTTTATTTAATTTCGACCGACTTTACAGGACCTCCAAATCGAATCCATGAGTTGGTAAGTGACTTTGATTTTCTTTATAACACACTCTATGTTAAAATGCAAAGCTAATTTGTTACTATTTCAAAAAATCTAAAGCCCAAATTCGATTTTAGTATTGCATACGATTCAACATATGATCACCGCAAACTTTGGATGCACTCCACTTATCACACGAGTTTACCAGTTTTACGTCTAGTAAGCCAGGACACATCAGAACACGGATATGTATACATGTTGCAAAAATATGCTGATTTGTCGCTTAGAAATTGCCGACTTTTTGACCTGAAACGTATTCTGGATTTTGGGATAAATGTGAGAAATGGGCACACAAGTGTTGGAATATCTCCTATTCATGAACATTTTACTTTGATATGTAATAAAATTATAACATGGGTGAGATCTGGTTTTCGAAACTCATTGGATTTTGGTATGGAAGAATCAGCACGACAATGGTTTGAGATGTCCGTTATTCCGTTGCCATCTAAAATTCCGGCGTTGAATAATACTCGAAATACTCTGCGAACTCGGCATATTTCCGATTCTAATAAAAGGTCGGAGAAATCTATACCAGGAAAGAAGCGCAAAAAGGTAATTATTTTGGTTGCTACGACGTGGTTAGGTTAGGTTTCGGGTTCAATTAGATGAGAGATAGCAGTATATGAGTTTTTTCTTTTTTAATTGCAGGGAGGAATTATCAAAGATTCGGATAATGAATCAAATCTTGGTTCATCAAAAAAACAAAACAAATCTACCAAAATTATTGATGATCTCTCTGCACAAGTAATATCAACCCCTGGACCATCTAAAAACGCACATACAGCAACGGAACCTCGATCCGCGTACTCAGACCCGAGGCAAGAGCTTGAATCTATTAGAGAAAAAAATAAGAGACTTGAAGCGGAGTTACAATTGTTTAAAGCAGCACTCAAATTAGCCGAAGAAGAAGCCATCTACCAACGCTCGATAGCTCAATTGCTTGAAGAACAAAATCGTAGATCAGATGACCAAAGACGACTAGCATGGGTTAAAGACATGCTCAATAGCAGATCCACTCAGAAAGAAGAATTTGAAGCATTTGTATGCGATTGGAATGGATGTAACAAAATATTTAGAAGTAAGGATGACCTCAAGGTTCACCTTCGCTCAGACCATTGCTCAGACCGTTTTGCATCTTCAGCTAGGTTTGCATCTAATAGCAAAAATTTAAGTTTTGCGAGTTTTGCATAAATTAAATGGGGATAGTGAATTATATTTGTAATATATTGTTAAATTTTATATATCAAGAGTTGGAACGGAATGCGTGTTGATGCCGGCTCAACCTGGGTTGATCTTGGATTTTGGTTCAATTTTGAATTGATTTAGAATTATTTGATATCGATTTTAATTACAGAGTATTAAAAAACGCATCCCGAGTGACAGAGCTATTCAGTATATTTAATTTTGGGGTTTGCTCAATTTAATCGAAATTTCACATTTAACGTTAATTTTACAATATATTTCTAAACTTTGGAATATTGTTTAAAAATAGGCTGAATAACATTACCTAGTCACTTGTGATGTTTACCTAATAAAAAAATGGTCAAAAAATAAATATGAAAATTCCCTACATATATATAATTCAGGATCAAACCAAATTTCATTCCAAAACAAAAAAAATACATTTGAAGTTACATTTGTAATTCTCAATGATAGTCATTATAAGACAATCAATAAACTTCTGTGGGATCCCAACAAAATCGACGTTTTTTATCATCACTTGCGGAGTCCAATAATTCCATTTCCTTTAAAAAATGAAAATAATAAATTTTCAACCTAAAATTCATAATTCGCTCCCTTTTCTGATTTGAATGAATAACCTACTTCTTTCGATAATTCAAAATGAAATATTTCGGCATTAGTTTTTATCCGTTCAGGTGATGTCGATTTGGGGATCACAATAACCTCATGCTGATATCCCCATCTTAACAAGACTTGCGCTTTAGTCACACCATGTTTTAATGCAATCTGTTCCAAACCATCCACCTCAACATTTCCATTCACCAAATTCCCTTCACCCAAACTAGAATAGGCTTCAAGCCTAATTCCGTGTTTTTTACATAATTCCCAAATATCTTTTTGATACAACAATGGATGAAATTCAACCTGTAATACGGCAGGAATTATTCTACACGTGGAAAGTAATTGAGTGAGATGACGATGTGTGTAATTACTGACTCCGATTGCACGGATTTTTTTCTCATCGTAGAGACGTTCAAGCGCTTGCCAGCTTGAATGTCGATTTACGGCGTTTTGTGGATCGTGAAGTTTTAGACCTTGGGTACTTTTTATTTTTTTTTTGCGATTAAAATGATTGTAGCTTATTCTATTCTAGGTTTAATTCATTTTGACTTATTCTCTCACCCGGGCCAATGTATCAAGAATAAATCAATATACTCAATACCGAAACGGCGAAGTGACGCATTAACAGCTACAATCAAATAAAAAAATTTAATATCTCTCGATATAAATTGATGTGAAAAATTTAATCTAACCATTGTAACACGCCTCGTATCCTTGATCTCTAGGTGCTTCACAATTCGATCGATTATTATTCAATTACTCGACACATAAGAAAATCCGATACGAAAAAGTTCTCTTACGTAATTTACTCGTAATAAATACATCCTCTCTTTTTAGACCTAAGGAGGGATCCTCAAACAGTTTCAGAAGTGTTCGCCCTATGAATTCCTCATTTCTGTATCCTATTGCAGAGTCTAACGGTCCAATATGGTCAATTTATCTTACAGCATTCGAGCCATATGTAACAAATATAAAATAATTTACTACCGATAAGTCTATATCCTAAAGTGATAGCGCTCTTTATTACTAATTCCACAGTTTCTCTGGTTTTTATGCGATATGTTCCCACTATATGAACATAAAAAAAATGTTTGTCATGTAGACAGCAAACAATTACGTAAAGAAAATAAATTAATTTAAAAAAAAATTGATTACAGCCAAGAGCGGGAATTTCTACCCCATTGCTCAAAAGGAATTTTGGAATAGTCGACATGAGCGATTTATGATCTCACACCATTAACGATTTAGATTTGGATGAATGAAGCCTGAACTTTGAATTCAAATTGTTTTAATCCTTCTCCCGAAAATCAAAATACAATCGTAAATTTAGGGGTAAATACAATTGGAAAAAGTTTTCTTCAAAGGAAATAGCTGCATTAGATTGTATCTTCAATCCGAATTAAGTGCACTTTGTTTCTCTGTGCCATTACATAGCACCGTGACAATAAACATAAATAAAATGGTATGACACAATCAATTCACACTGCGTAAATTAATTTATAATTGTGTAAATACTTTTGGTCCTCGTTGAATGTGAAATTTTCAATGCATTTGCTCGAGATTCCACAAGAACTTCTATTGTCAGTGTTAGCGGTAGCCTCTTTTGAAAATAAAGACTTGCTTCATTTGGCGCTAACCTGTCGTCAATGGGCTTCCTTAGCCTTGCCACACTTATGGCGAACCCGACGTCTCAGTAAAGGAAATGAATACAAGCAATTCAAGACAACGGTTCAAGATTCTCACGCTGCAAAAGCTTTGCACCCTTATGGTGAATACGTCAAAAAACTTCAAATCAATGAGCGTACTGATATAACGCCACCAAGTTCCATTGACGCCGAGGTGATTTCATTCATCGCGAAATTTTGCCCAAACCTTATCGAACTTGCACTTCGATTCAGCACGAAAGAGCGAAATAATCTAATGTGGAGATTACCATTGTCATTACTCGCGAATCGACTTAATAAATTAGATGTTGTCGGTTATGAGCATGATGTTCGTTCATCCGCTTCTGGATTTCTTCAATTGATGAATCAATGGTTAGATTATGCAGAAGATGATGCTTATAGAGATGATAATTACGACGCGCTCTGTGAGATTGCTCACAAACTTAGGCATATTGTACTTACTTATCCTAAAATTCCCAATGATATGTGGGAAAATCTCGCAAAAAATGCTGGCAGCTCTCTTGAACACATTGAGGTCCATATCAACGGTTCCATCGTTCCTGATCTTAGTCCATCGCTCATTACAAAGTCGTTTGCAAGCTATTGCTCTAACCTGAGATCCTTTATTTTGGCATCATTCGTATGTGAACCAGTTTCGAAGGAAGCTTTGCTCGAACTTATTCAAGCTACTCCCAAACTGTCAAAATTAGATATCGCGATTGCAAGTGATGCTGCTAGCGTCCTTCCAGATTCTACTACCTTACACACAGTTTATCTTTCATCAACGATTCATGGTGACGATTTGAAAAATTTTGGTCGCATGAATAGTCTGATCTCTTTGTCGATTCAAAAAATCGAAGGTTATTGTGATTTCAAGTTTTTGAGTATGCTGCCGAATCTCGAAGTAAGTTAGAAAAAACTTTTGTATTCTGCCTCATTAAACTAATTAAAAAATGTTCTATTTAAAAGAAGAATAATAATATTAATTATTATTGTTATAGAAATTTTTTATCGGAGAATACGGCGATTTGAATGACGAAATAGTTAACAATATTGTGACTAATTCACGAGTGAAAATAATTGAATTAGTAAAAACCCCCACGATTACCGATAGAGGCCTTCAGATTTTTGCTTCCATGCATACACTTATAAAATTTTGTATACGTGATCGTTTGCAAAATGTTACCAGAGACGGGTGGCTAGCGTTAGTGAGAAGACCACCTGATTGTCCGTCCTGGGACAAGCTTTCCATCAACGACGGAAGAAAGATTGACTCGGAATTTTTCGAGATTTTGCATCACGAACATCCGAACCTTCGTAAGCTCAAAGTTCGTGGGATCAATCGAAACCTTTATAATGACGCGGCATTCAGCAAACTCAAATTCAATGAGTCATGGCAGCACTGTCAAACCACTTCTTCCACAGCTACCTTTGATTGGCCATTGACGCATCGTAAGGACTATAAGAAAATGACTTTTTTAGAACAATAATAATCATAATCATAAAAATAATCATAATATCGCTATATACGGGTTAGTTTAATAAACGGGTTGTGTTATTAAGAGCCTTTTATTTTATTTCAGAGTTGCATATACATTAATAGAATGTTAATCGGTTCATCGTGATCTCTTATTTTATCTAACGATATTCAAGAAATTTAATGATTCACTATTCTCGAGGTTTAGTCGCGCTGATGTATAAAACTAAAAATGAAAAAAAATTAACATATGATAGCATACACCATTACTCGACAAAGATAAGAAACTCGTCATGTTACTATACCATTATTTCCTCGAATAAACGCATCCCCATATCTATTTTTGAGCTGTCCATTGACGTATTCTTCAGTTTGCTCTAATGCAATATTCATATATCCATCGAGACAAGAAAGAATACCTAAAGGAAAAGACAATTATTTTATCAATAGAAAATAACGTGAATTCTTTTCTCGTGGCTAAATTCCATAAT